AATAATAATAATATTAGAAAATTTTGAACTGATTGATAATAAACCTATGATATATCAAAGTGTATGGAATATATCCATAGCTCTTCATAGGAGAAAAGTTACAGCTATAAAAACATCTACTAGAAAAGGAAATATTAAAATCAAATCCAAAGGATAGAAAAATAATAAAATCGAGCTAAATTTAGCAGAAGAATATAACAAAGATAAAAGGAGAAATTCATGAAATAGGATGTAGATGCTCATGACAGAGACTAAACACTCAGTTTTGACAGTGCAGGTTAATGTAACAGAGGTCCCTTTGGGCAGGACTGAGCCCCAGCAAGGATGTATCCTAAAGCAACGGAGTGTTAAGCTTCAGACTTGGGAGTGAATCTTCCTGCATTTGTATTACTGGTTTTTACCCTTAATAGTTTTGTGAGCTATACCAGAAATATAAACTCTTTGAGTCTCTGGATTCTCATTTAAATTGGAGCCATAATGGCACCCAACTCATAACAAGATAACTGAATTAAATAAATACTTTAAAATATACCCAGTGTTTACAATTATCAATATTAATGAGACTTCTTAACCCAGGCCTCTCAGTGATATGGAATGTTATCCTTTGTCGCCTGTGGAAAATATCAGAACTGCACAGAAATAAGCGGCAAGAAAGCAGATCAAGGCAGTGAAGCAGAAAATTAACAAGAAGGGAGATTGCCCAGCTGACGTGGACATGGCCAGTGCTTTAAGGTATCATGGACCCATCACTGCTGTACAGAGAAGAGCAGAGCTTCACAGTATTGCTCACATATGCATACACCCACTTTTGACTTGGTGGTTATGGTACTGAAAGCCACAGAGAAGGGTTCTCCTAGCAGGCTATCAAAAAAGCAGCTTTAGGACAAAATGTAGGGAAAAAATTAGGTGGACATGGCCACAGGAAAACCATATCCCCAGGTCCAAGCATTTAAGTGCCAGATGTTGGTGTTCCAGAGAAGACAGTAATACAGCTGAGCTGAAGCATATACTACACCATGGAAAAAGAGAGAAGAACATGATCTCCAAGAGTAGGTGAAAATGAACAACTGATTTTAAATGAGGAAGCAAAATAGTGATACCAATTGTCAGTCTCTTCTCAAAATGATGCACCTTTGTGGTGAAGAGGATTGTAACCAAGACAAAATGGTTAAACTGCTTTCAGACTCTAAGTTCAAAAACAGAACATAACATATCTGAAACTATTCTCTGAGACTTGCTTTTACAGACACAGCAGTCTGGAGGCTTATTTATTAATCTTGAACTGAGTTCCTTGGCTAAAGCCAAGAGACTGCAAGAGAGGAATCAGTGGGCCATCAACAGGTGTTGTAAATTCCAGTTATCTAAAAAATGCCTTTTCAAGTATGAAATGTCCTGTAACTAACCAGTGACTTAAACCAAATTCATATTTCTTTCCTACTAGACAGTTTTTCAGTCAGTAATATTTAACAACTTTGTCTTCAACCTTCATTCCTTTTCTTAATTAAGGATAGTGATTTCAGGTTTTTCTCTTAGCTCCTTACCAACTGATAAGCAACGAAATGTCTTTCTCTTCTCAAAATCTGAGGTCATAATATCAGTTTCCATGCAGAATGGAAGTCCATTTATTTGGTAACAAGATGATTTCTTATGAGTCATAATGTTGCAAATTTGTTTAATAATCAAATTTAGGGCCCTCCCTGGTGGTACAGCAGCAGGTTAAAGCACTGCACTATGAAGCTTAAGCCACTTCCTCATGAGTTTGATACCCCCCTGCCCTGGAGGACATCCACATGGTGTGGCAGACCTCTCCTGACCAACCCACTGCTTCCCTCAGCAGTGTACTTCATCAATCTGCCTGTTCTGTTCCCCACTATGTCCCTGGTGAATCCTCTCATCCTCCTCATCTCTGGCCTGTACCCTAGTTCTGTATGAATAAATAAATCTTTAAAAAATAAAAATAAAATAAAATAATCAAATTTAGGGGATTTTATTTTATGAGGCTGGTCAGGACTCCATAGGGCAGGGTTCCCAGTGTGCAGGTAACAGGATACTCAATTAAATGAGGACTGAGCTCTTCAGGGGAGGGGCTGATGCATAAATGTTTATCAGCCAAAGAAGGACCATTGAGAGTAAATCAGTCACTAGTAGACAGTGTGCTGATTAGTTAGACCCAGTCAAATTAAGAGTTGCCATCTATCTTCTCATAATTATGGGAGTAAATTGAATGTGGTAAGCAGAGATTATACTTGGAGAACCCCAATTAAAAGGTTTAAGCAGGACTACCTCTTTGAAAGCCACATTTTTTGATAAAGGAACTCCTATATTGCATCATTTAAGACTGCTTACCAGGGTTGTTCTGGGAACATTGCATATTTGCATAATAAAACACTTCACAGGTCTTCCTGATAAATCCTATGGAGGTTTTCCAATAGTTTGTTTGTTTTAGGGAAGATTGCACTTTGTCAAATATATGAAAAAACCTGCAATAAAAAAAAAGAATTCAGAGAGATTATGCTAAGTGAAATAAGTCAGAAGGAAAAAGATAAATATTAGATGGTCCCACTTATACATGAAATACAGAGAAACTAAAGAAAGGGTCAGGAAAAGATAAAACTTGCAAGCTGACCATAAACCTGAGACATGAGCCATGGTGGGAGAGGAGTCAAAACAGGAGGGGACAGGAGTGGGGAAAATGCAAACAGGTGCTATGGTGGTGGGACAACAGGTGAGGGGAGAAATCAAACATTGTCCAAAAATTAATTAACTAACTTTAAAAAGAAATTAAAACAAAGGAAGAGAACAAAAAAGATCCAGAGACAACTAATATAAACATGGGTGTGACAGTCCACTTCTGTAGGTCTCTGAAACAGTTCTTGCCCTCCCTGGTGGCGCAAGTGGTTAAAGTGCAGCACTATGAAACTATCAGCAGTCACTGCAGCGTGAGTTCGATCCCCAGCCAGGGAGCTGACCCACATGGCGCAGCAGACATCTCATATCTCTCCAGCTGCTCCCCTCAGCACTGTATTTCAGTTGAATTGCCTATTCTGCTCCCCACTCTCTCTCTGGTTGAATTCTTTCACCTTCTCCACCTCCTATTTGTACTCCAATTCTTGTATGCATAAATACATAAATGTTTAAAAAAATTCCCTTCATGTATATTTTCATCTTTATGAATTTCTCACCCAGACCAGACTTGAAAAAAATTAGGGAAAAACACTTCAGGTAATACATAAAATATAATATACAACACATTAAAAGATAACAAAATGGAAAACTGAAAGTATAAGATAAAATGAGCTTTGAGGCAAAAATGCATTCATTTTTTTGACATACTATGAACTTGACATAATAGTCACCAAGGAAAATAGAAATTGATCATACATATAGTTCATGATGTCAAAAAATTTTAAAAAGGGCAAAGTTTCAGCTCCCAAGAGAAACTGTCCATTTGAAGTTAGAATCCTGATTAATGCAGTGAACAAGAACTCAATATAGCCACAACTTGAACTAAATAAGGTCTTACATTTCTTGTAAAAGACAGAGCCAACAGTTAAACTTTAAATGAATTGTTTAATTTTATTTTGTAGATGCTTTCCAGTATTTTCAAATAGGTTAATATTTTTAAAATTAAAAAGTGAGCCTTACTCTATTCTAGAATTAGAAATAGAAAGTACAGTTGAAGTTTGGACAATGTAGATTTGACCTGTGTGGCTCCACTTATATGGGCATTTCTTCCAAGAGTTCTGAAACAAACCAATCATTTATTGAAATATAGATGTAAAACTCACAGATAAAGAAGACCAACTATAAATTAGACACAGATTTTTTTATTTATTGTACTTGAGTTCAGTGCTTCTAACCTGAGTTATTCAAGAGTCAACTGTACTGTGTTGATCTGTCATTTGAGTGGAAAGGAGCAGCTTGAATTTCTTTATTTTATTTGTCCTATATTCCACCAACCATATACTTACACTATGGCAATAAGCTGGTCCTTGCAGTCATTGGGAAAGATACTATTCCCAGGTGAGACATCTGCACCCAGCAGCTGGAAGAGCTGATAACAGGAAAGGCTAACTTCCAGTAGTTGCTTTTCCAGTTCTTCCCAGCCCAAATATTCTTCAGATATTGAAACTGGCATATTTGCATGTCCAGAAATCACCTCTTGCAAAAGATGATCCTTAGCAGGAAAAGAGAATATTGCTTACAATACATAAAGCAATGACATGTATGTACAAAAGATGCAGGCTTTATTGATACTCTCAACAAGAAGTTCACTTGAGCTGCATATAAAAGACTGTGCCCTGAGGGACTGTGATTGCCTAAGTGCTAGTGAATGGACTCCAAAATAAAGTTTCATAAAACAGATAGGACACAAAAGTCAAACTATCAGTACTGTTTAGCCTCCCATGTGGTCCCCAATAGCCCTAGCTTTCTGCTGTTCATGCTTTTGCATTTCTCTCCCATAGATAAACAGACTGGACCATGACTCATATCAACCACCAAAAAGCAGCAAAAATGATGTGTGCTCATGCAAACTTGCTCTTTTTTTTTTTTTTAAGATTTATTTATTTGCGCATATAGAACTGGGGTACAGGCCAGAGGCTCAGGGGCGGCAAAAGGCTTCACTAGAGACAGAGTGGGGAGCAGAACAGGCAGATTGATGAACACTGCTGAGGGGAACAGCGGGCGGGTCAGGAGAGATCTGCCACGCCATGTGTTCACCACCAGGGCAGGTGGGAATCGAACTCACACGGAAGTGACTTTTGCTTCTTTGTGCTACGCTTTAACCTGCTGCGCCACCAGGGAAAGCCACAAACTTGCTCTTTCTGAGTAGCTCCTACTCCCTCTCTCTTTCCTGGGATTCCAGGGTCACCCTGTGAGAAGTTTGGCTACCCTACTAGGAACATGTATGGGGAGACCCCAAGGGGAAGAGAAATGCTGAGACTGGAAGAGAAAGACAGGTCACTGCACTGTCCCAGCTGAGCACCCAGCCCCCACTACCACCTCACTGCAGCTAGCTGAGAGGATTTCACTGAGAGAATCAGCAAGTTCATGAGAGAAAGCAAAATATGTTTTGCTTTAAGATATGAGTTTGGGGTAATAAATACTCTAAGTGCCATCAGGAAGATTATCTCACCATACATAAAACCTACAAATCTACTTGCATCTCCAATAGGCACTGTGAGTTAAACTGGATAGGGACCAAAATATTGGGGAGGCGGGGGGAGGGTTGGCTGGGAAAAAGTTGACAAACTAAGAACAGAAAATCCTGTGTGAAAACAGGGAGTGGTCTTTAGTGCCTGCTAGCCTTCACACATGCCTTTCCCTCTGCTTCACATGTGCCTTGTGCCCCTCTGACTTGGACAGTGTCTTTACATTTATGCCCCCTCAACCTCACACATAGGGGTGTTACTAAAGTAGTGCTAGCAAAAAAACTTAAAAGACACTTATCCAAAGAGGAATTGCAGATGGCCAACAGGCATATGAAAAAATGTTCAGCATCCCTTATAAATAGGAAAATGCAAATCAAAACCACAATGAGATACCACCTCACACTTATAAGAATGAATGGGACATATCAAAAAAAAAAAAAACTAACAACAAATGTTGGCAAGGATACTGTGAAAAGGAACACTCCTACATTGCCGGTGGGAAATGCAAACTGGTACAACTACTATGGAAAGTTTTATGGAGATTCCTCAGACTACTAAAAATGGAGCTGCCATATGACCCAGCAATTCCACTCCTAGAGATCTACCCAAAGGACACAAAACCATTAATTCAAAAGGATACATTCACCACTATGTTTATTGCAGCACTACTTACAATAGGTAAATCCTGGAAACAACCCAAATACCCAAAACTAGATGATTGGATTAAAAAGATGTGTGTGTGTCTTGTGTATACAAATGTAAGCATGTGTGCATGTGTGCATGTATATGTATGTGTGTATATGTATATATACATGCATACACATGCATGTGTAATGGAATACTACTCAGCAATCAAAAAGATAAACTCATGTCATTCACAGCAACATGGATGGAGAGGGAAGGGATTATGCTCAGTGAAATAAGTCAGAAGGAAAAAGAAAAGTATAGAATGGTTTCATGTAAAAGAGGAATTTTAAGAGAACCAAATAAGACATAGCGGGGGGGGGGGAGTGTATTGTTATTACAATACAAAACAAAAACAAATAGACAATTATAAACCAAAAATATCCTAAAGGGAGGGGTACAGAGAGAGATTGGAAGGAGAATGTGGGGGGAAATGGTGATGATGGGGTGGACCAAGTGGGGGAGAAGGGAAGAAAACACTGTTTTAAAATGAACAATATTGCAACTAGATATATAAATCTTTTAAAGCGTTAAAAAAAAAGTAGCTCTAACTGAACTGTGCAATAGTCTTTAAGTTGGGACATAGTTTATAGTGCACTGGTTTCACTAGTTCACTGATTTTATTTCATGTGTCAAATTACAAGAGGTCATTCTGAAGGGAAAAAAATAAACTCCAGAAAGGTTATTATTTTTAGTGCTGGGTAACACTGGGTAACTTGACCACTAGAAGCAACAGATTGCTCCAAGTTCACTCACCCTACAGATATTGTCCACCCTACTTCACATATGTAGCTGGAAATGGAGCATAACAGAAACCCAGACACCAAGGTAGCACAGTTTCAGAGTTTGGAGTGCTTTCGGGAAATCTCATCTGTTGAACCAGAATAAAGGAAACCTTATTTCAAATAGAATGTGGGGCTGGGGGCCAAGAAGGGAAGTTCTCCAGTCTCAATAAGAACTCATCAATAAGAAGCCCCAACAGGAAAAACTTAATTATTGACCTACAGTGGGAAAAGAAATCCATACCAGAAGAGTAGTATTTCTTATTTTCCACCAACTCATCCAATAAGATCATCACCACTCTCAACTCTAGCTTTCCACCAATCACTCTGATTCATATCAATCCCTCTTAACTTCCTCCTTTTTTCCTGTTAAATAAAGTCCCTTTCCTATTAAATAATGTCCTCTCTCCTTGTCGATGGCTTTTGCTACAATTTGCTTGTTTCGAATTGTAATTCCTCTGCTATTCTGAAATAAACCCATTTTGCTAGAAAAATACAAGCTATTTTATTTTTTAGGTCAATAATGTTAAGTCAACTGGGTATATCAGTTGGACGGGACAACTAGGAGTGTCCTTTGGGTCAGCTGAGGTTCACTGATGTCAACAGCTTTTTGCAAAATCCCATGTTAAATGTTAGCATCCTCAGTAGATTTAACTTATAAATGATCCCTATGGTACCCTTGGAAGAGACAACTGATGAATACGTACAGCATCCTCCACTGATCCACGTAGCGTGTTAAAGACACTTGTCTCATTGAAGGAGTAGTGATGGCACATCAGCCCTAGGAGACCCTCCCATACACTGGAATTTCTCAGATTCAGGAAAGCCTCTCTTTCGGAACTCCATCCATTCAGACACATAGCAGTAGCATTCTTCATCAACAACTAAAAAGATTAATGAGAGTTGGAAGAGGTGACACTTAGTAAGGTTTGGATCTTTCTACAAATTCCAAGCTCTACAAATAAAAATAGGTGACAACCAAATATAAAATAGAATGTGTTTTCCCTGAAAACATGTTTATTGTCCTTTTTATTGTGATAACACATTTACAACAGAAGCAAAACTAAATTTTGTTATTTAATGTCTTATCAAATTGCATACTTCTAATCCTTTGCTGTTTACCTGCTTCAACTCCCAAAAGAATACTTCTTTTTCCAATTTTAAATGGTCATACCCAGGCAGTTTAGAGTCCTTTGCTGATGTCTCCAAGTGAAAGAGAACTTCTGTAAGATTAACATATTGATTTATTATTCACCTAAAAAAGGCTGCTCAAAGCTTGACTTCTATGAATCAGTAAGTTCAATGCCCAAAATATGCATGTCAGTGAACAAGTCCTGTTATAAGATATTTGATTATTTTCCTTGGAGAAAAAAACCTGGGAAAAGTTATTGTAAACCCATCTCATACTTTCAGAAGTATAGAGGGAAATCTTAGCTACAGTGCAGGTAAGGAACCTGCCCTCCTCATTTCTTTTCTAGGCCATGAAAAGGTGAAAGCCTCCAGCCTTCTGGAACAAATTTGCTACCTCCAAGAAGGGCAGAGAAGTGAAACAACCATATTAGTAGTAAGTTTGAAAAATGGCATTCTTCCAAAGGAGATGTGATGTGTGTTCTCCCTCCCTGATGCTGTACAGCAGGGGGAGGGACAGAGCCAGATGACATGGAGCGATGCCCCCTGGTCCCTTGCCAGCCTGAGCCTCACAGATGCTGGTGTGAATGTAAAACAGACCCTGGTTCTGGGAAATTGCCTGTCACCAGCCCCACTGCGGACTGGCAGTGAACAGAAGGCTGTTCCTTTCGTGTAGCAACACTATTTATTCAGTTTTGATGAGTGCTTGCAATACCCCCAGAGTCTTCATTGCAAGCATAAATATGTATGCACATCAACATGACTTATCTCCAAACTTGACAAAGACATGAGGTGGCTTTGAAGTCCACTTTTCAATAAGTTTCATGTTCACTGCTAGTGAGTTGATAAAGAATGGCCCCAGGGTGATTTTACCTTGGAAAAAATGTAAATTCTGGGCTATCACATTCCTGAGAGCTTCATCAAACTGAAGCAATCTCTTCAGAGTTGGCCATTGGGGAAGATTTTGAAGAATGTCCTGTAATTTCTGTAGATGCAGTAATCTGAGTAAGAAAAAAATATATGAATAAATGAAATAAAACAGAAAGCAGTTCAATGTGCTATCTGAGGAAATGAAAATTCCACTCTTAGGAAATTATTCCCCAAAGCTGGAAAGTGCCTCCAAACACCAAACAAAAACGTTTAACCAGGCTCTGGATATTAGCTTGATTGGAGGATTTTTTAGATACTGAAAGTGAAGTAAAATTCTCTTTTAGCCCCAAAAAGGAAAGCATATTTTTAATAGGATATAAAAGAGGTGAGAGTTATGATAAAGTTCTAGGTGATATTTAAGAATATTTTTATGAAGTTCCCAGTTTCAGGTGCATAAAAATATTTTCTGAACAACCATATATCAGAGACATTTTGCGGGGGTGGAGTGGGGAGTGGGATCAAAAACGGGAGGAGTGGGGAGAGAAATGCACGGGATTATGGTAATGGCACACGGGTGATTTGGTGATGGGAAACCTGTGGGGATTACAATCGAGATGGAAAAAAAAATGTACAAAATGATGTAAAAATAAACTTTTTTAATAAAAATAAATAAATAAATAAAATATTTTCTGAATGTCAACAGGGTTGTGGTGGAGTCTGGGCGAAGCCCACTATGTATGCCAAGTGAGAGTGAATTTACAGCAGCTGCAAAACTCTCCACTGAAGAATCCCAGTAAGATAGCCTGATACATGCAGGCCCTGGAGATAAGGCAAATGAGAGTCCAGATATCTGAGAGACACAAGGGAACTTCTGCAGATAAGGAAGGTGGCACAAACAAAATTCCATGTTGCCCTCGGAATCAAGCAAGTAAGTCACTGGAGAACTATTTCCAGCATTGAACCACAAGATCTGAATCTACCTTCTTACCTGAGGGTCTCTCTGTTGCTACAAGAGAAGACAAGAATTTGAAAATCTCCTTGTCTGAGATTTTCTTACTGAACAAATGGACAAACACCAGAATAGTGGCTGAAATTGGAATTGAAGATGAGAAAGGGGAAGAGTTAGATATAGGCTGGTCAGTGTTGGTGGCAGAACTGTCCCCAACCAAGCAAGCATATGGACGAGAAGGAGAGTAGCCTACAAGGAGAGAAAAACAGAAGGAGTGTTGCTAGTGAAGCCCGAGCAAAATGCCTACTGGCTGGGGCTGCCTCAGAGCTGGTGAAAGCAGCATTGAGCTCCACCTTCAGAGGCGTTTTCTACATTTCACAGTAGAAATGTAGCCTGATGGATTGCTGTCGCTCTTTTGTACCTGCTGCGCCAATAAATCTAGCCACTGCAGAGGCTAAAGGGACCCAATGATGTTTCTCTCATGTCACCTCCCACCAATTATAACTGCTGCTCCAACTCCATTACAGGTAGACAAAAAAAGGAGTTGTGAATACCTGGGCCAAAGCTTGGACCAAAACTTTATTGTTTCTGCTAAGGCAGAGTGTGAATCTACAAAACCTGAAGAGGGCTGACAGTGTCTCTCTGATTTAATGAGAAGTTTAAACTGAGATGGAGACACAAGAATACAGGCCTGCAAAGGAGGTGATGGAGATGTTAAGCCAGAGGAGGACACACCTGGTGATACCAAGGATGAGCGATTTAGTCTTCAGTGTGGAAGATAGTATCACAGTGTAGAGTAGGAAGCAATGAGAATCCTAACCACAGCCACAAAACCAAAGCGTAACTACTGAGCAGTACACACAGCTCCATGTGAAAGTGAAGAAAAATGTTTACTGCAAAAGTAGATTAAAAACAAATCACAGACTTGAGGATACATATAAAGGAACTTGATAAGAAAGTTAATGAATCTGTAAAAAAAAACAAAACAATAGAAAGCTGAATTTAGGAGAGACAAGCAGATATTGATAAAGGAATGGAGGAAGAGGCCAATGTTTGCAAGCATTTTATAAACATGAGATGTTGTCAACTTGGGGGTCTCTCTGTTAGCCTCATGAGGTAGAGAAAGTAGCACTTCCTTATAGTGAAGACACAGGGCCACTACGAAGTACTTTATGGAGCCTCCAGCAGGCCAAGAGGTTGATATTCATAAAAGACCTTAAAGATTCTGGTCAGGGTCCCTCCCTGGTGGCACAATGGGTTAAAGCACAGCACTATAAAGCTATCCAAGCCACTGCTTTGGATAGTTCAGTCCCCAGCCAGGGGGGTGACCCACATGGCATGGCAGACCTCTCCTGACCTGCCCTCTGCTCCCCTCAGAAGTGTATTTCAGTCAAACTGGCTGTTTTGCTCCCCACTCTGTCTCTGGTGAATCCTCTCACTCTCCCCCACACCTCTGGCCTGTACTCCAGTTCTGTATGTATAAATAAATGACTTAAGAAAAAAAAAAAAAAAGATGTCGGTTGATGATGTCATCAAATGGAGAGGCCCTGGGAGGGTGACCCAGGAGCTCGTCTGTACAAGTGAAAAACATTTTTGTTAAGGAAACAATGAGATTTTATATTACTTGGAACAAAAGATAAGCAAATAGAAATGAAGGCTCAAAAGGCCAGTAGTTTCCTTCCTAGTGCTCACAGTGGATAGTGGAAACTTCCCTTTCTGATACTGTGTGCAGAAATTACTAGGGGCCAGGGAAAGCTAGATACATCCTCTCTTGGTACATAGAGCACATTGAAAAGACTAGGAGTCAGGACTAGTGGCCAGGGGCACAAAAAAGGTACTGGGGAAAAGTACCAGTGTGTTGGAATTTTGGAAATTACTAAAGTGACCCAAATTGTGTCTCCCTTAGTGTACTTTAAGTTACAGAGGTGATATCTTTAAATATTTGAAACAGACAATCCAAGCAGATTAACATATACATTTTCCATTATTCCAAGACAATATTTCTTATTGGAAGTTCAAGTAGCCCCAATATATTGTTCTTGTCTATGTCTAGCTAATTGTTGCAATGTATCTGCTGCCAAATCCCTCCATCTCCTTTAAGTTCTTAGTGCCCACATAGGAAAAGCATTGTTTTCTCCCATCACTAGAACCCTGGGCAATCTCTAAAGTATGAATTAAGGAATTGAATCTTCAGAAGTAAGAAGTTGCTTTCTTATAGGGTTCCAGAAAAGAGGTTAGAAATGTTAATCATCATTTGATATGTAAAACAATAGGGTATCATACAATTCTGACAACACAATCCTCTCTTCATGCCACATAGAAACCACTAATTTCTATAACCTGTGTAGAAATGAGCCCTTTTGAGACTATGTTGAACAATCTTATTGTTTTCTTCCAATATATCTTCAACCTTAAAAGTGTAATGAACTATATCAAGTTACAAAATTCTGACACAGTCACTAAAGAAAAAGATACAGTACAGCATACCCCAGAGATATTAATGATTCAATTCTAGACCACTATGTCACAATAAAGCAAGTCACAACAATTTTTTGGTTCCCGTTGCATATAAACTATATACAATGTATAATTTAAGCATGCATTACATTTATACTTTACTAAAGTTTGTTAACTGTGCGATAATATTGTGCTTGGTAAGGTATATGCATATGTTAAAAATTACTGTATTGCAAAAAATTGTTAGTCATTATCTGAGTCTTAAATAAGTTGGAATCTTGTAGACAGAGGGTATTGCCTCCAGATTAATGACTACTGACAGATGAAATTGGTGATTGATAAAAATTTGGGTATCTGGAATTTCTTAAGATAAAAAATAATAGTGAATAACTTCATTGTTGCCACAATTATTGATTATTCCATACAAAAATTATTCTCTAATATATGATGTCATTTGATAGAATTTCACTCAGTAAAACTTCTTGCAATATTGAAATCAATCTTCTCTGCCTGCCATTGTTGTATTAACTGAGTTTATGTAATATTCTAAATCCTTTACAATAATTTTAGTGGTTTAATGATGTTTTCAATAGGAGAAATTTCATCTAAAGAAACCACTTTCTTTGCTCATCCATGAGAAACAACTCGATTCACTGCAGTTTTATTTTAAGATGACAGCAGTTTAATCCCATCTTCTAATTCTAATTCTAATTAATTCTAATTCTAATTCTAATTAATTCTAATTCTAATTCTAATTCTCTTTCTCTCCCTACCACTTTTGCAGTTAGTTTCTCCACTGAAGCCCTAAGTTTCTCAAAGTCATCTGTAAGGGTTAGAATCAACATCTTCCAAATTTCTGTTAATGTTGGTATTTTGACCTCATCTCATGAATCATTAATGTTCTTTACTGCATCTAGGATAGTAAGTCCTTTCCAGAAGCTTTCCCATTTACTTCACCAAGATCAATTAAGAAATCACTCTCTATGGCAGCTATAATCTTGTGAAGTCAAATTATAACTTGATCCCTGAGCAAGTGCACTCTGAGAATGGGTAATGTGCTATGAGGCATGAAAACAACATTCATGTCCTTGTATATCCCCATCAGAGTGCTTGGGTGACCAGGTGCATTGTTAATGAGCAATAATATTTTGAGATAAATCTTTTTTTATCCTAAATAGTTGACTCAACAATGGTCTCAACAGTATGTGTGTATGCACACACGTATTTATATGATATATATATGATGTAATAAATATATATACAACTTGCATTACATTGTCTAAGAAGCCTCTGCACAGTGAAAGAAATAATAAATACAGCAAAATGACTCCTAATCATAGTGACAATATATGCCTACCATGTATGTGACAAGCAACTGATATACAAGATCTACAAAGAACTCTTAATAATCCAACAAGAAAATAAATAACCCAATCAAAAAATAGGCAGAAGAACTAAACAATCATTTCTCTGAAGACATACAGATAGCAAGCAAGCACAAGAAAAAATGTTTATCATCACTTATTATCAGGGAAATTTAAATCAAGATCACAATGAGATATCACCTCATACTGGTAAGAACAACCCATATCAAAAAGACCAGGAACAAGTCCTGGAAAAAATATATCTACACTGCTGGTGGGAATACAATCTAGTGCAGCTCCAGAAAGCAGTATGGATAATTTTCAAAATATTACAAATGGAGTAGCTCTTCTGCCTACTTGT